CAAAACCGACTCCAGGAGGGAGCACACACAGACCACTTACGGTGGAAGAAACAGAAAATTATTCAAAAGCTCCCACCCAGATGTTCTTTTTAAGGCTTAAAAAGCCCTGTATGAAAAAATACTTGGATGATTAAACATCAGAAAAAATGACTACATTGATCAAAGGAGATAAAACAAGTGATCATTACATGCGGTTAGATCGAGATCCTATTTGCAATAAAAAATTCAGAGCTGTGAGTGGTGGCTCGGTGGCTCGTGCCTTTAATCCCAGTGCTTGGTAGGTAGAGCCAGGAGGGTTTCTGGGAGTTGGAGGCCATGGGTTACATAATGAATTCCAGGTCAGCCAGTGCTACAAAGCAGGACCCTGACTCAAAAATCAAGACAATTAATGAACTTAGCAAACCACAGGTAGTTTCTCTTAGTAAAGGTCAAGGAACGTTTACCTAACAGAAGCCTTTCCATTATGGAGAGGAGGGCAGGGATGCTTGTGGCCACTGTTCCTGCTCTGTGTGCTGGTTTCCAGCTGACACAGTGAGACAAGGGAAAGAAACAGTGCTTATCAGAGTTGGAAGGGGGCAGATTGTTTCCAGACATGTAACTGCATAGACAGTCCAAGGAGGCCTATGAATAGACGGCTGGGCTCAGCACTCAGCAATCATACAGTCTTTTTTTCATTGATTTTTTTTTTAATGTGTATGAGTATATTGCCTGCATATATGTGAGTTCATCTATGTCATGCAGTGCCCTTGGAGGTCAGAAGAGGGCATCAGATCCCCCGGGATTGGAGTTATAGATGGTTGTTACCTGCCATGTGAGTACTAGAAACCAAACTCAGGTTCTCTGCAAATGCAGCCAGTGCCCTTAATTTAACCACTGAGCCATCTCTCCAGCCCCCAAAACATGCAGTCTTGTTCACTCTTAATAATAAGTAGAAAGAAGTGTCCATCACATTCCCCCTAGTGTGCATGCCAGTCACTGCTGGGTGTCCCCTGTGGGCTCACTCAGTTCTCCTGGTGAACCACCTTGGAGTCCGCTGAGCTGCTTGAATATATAAACAAGTCTGAGAAGGTTTTAGCCATTATTTAGGTGTTCTTTCTCCATCTTCTCCTCTCCAAGACGCCTGTGTGTGTACACGGTTCATGGTCGACAGGTCTTTGAGCTTCTGTTTCTCTTTTTCCCCAAACCAGATCACCTCAATTGGCCTCGGGTTCCCAGGTTCCTGTCTTCATTCTTCCTGCTTGGATCCTTGTTGCTGAAATTTTCATTTGTTGTTATAATTTTTCAACTCTAGAAATACTGGTGCGGTGTGTGTGTGCGCGTGCGTATGTGCGGTTTCTGCTGGCTGTGCAGGACATGGCCAGGAGAGAGAACCAAGGAGGCAGGTTTCTAGAAGGCAGAGTAGGAGGTTTGGAAGGGTTGCAACAGCTCTAGGGTATAAAGAGACTTTTAGGTGAGAGCTGATAGATGCCGCGCTGTGCACAGACCCGCTCCTGGGAAGTAGCAGGAAGACACTCAGCAGTGAATACAGCAGGAACCACTGAGTGTGAGTCCATTTCCACCTCAAATAAAACTAAGTAAGAATAAAAACCGGGCTCAGAGGGTAAAAGGACCTGCTGCCAAGCCTAATGCCCTGAGTTTGATCACCAGGACCAGCATGATGGAAGGAGGGAACCAGCTCCCAAAAGTCCTCTGACTTCCCACATGCATGCTGTGACAGACATGTGAATGTTTGCATGCATGCATGCACATGAGTGCGCGTGCACATACACATAAACACACAACAATAAATGGGGGAAAAACCGCCATCGAAATCATCTTTCTCTTGCCCAGTGAGAAAGACTAGCATTGTGTGATCTCCACTGTTGCTCAGCAGACCCCTCGACTAGCCTAGTTGAGGAAGCAAGGCTTTCTGTTTGTCTGCAGTGAGGAGCCTGCTCTGGGCTTCACTTAGGGCACCCGTGGGGGCAGCCCCTCGCTGGCAGACATGCTTCTGGTGGTGTTGCCCCAGCACCTCAGGGCTCAGTCCTCTCTGGACTGCCCCTATGTAGATCAGGCTTCCCTTTGGGTGCCACTGTGGGCCACATGACCTAACAGAACTGACAGACGGACACATGGAGAAGACTGAGAGGGAAAAAGAGGGAAAAGCTGCCCATGGGGGCACACGCCTGTAATCATAGCACTTGGGAGTTGAGGCAGGCTCATCGAGATTCAGGGCCAGCCTTGTCTACAATGGAATTGGAGGCCAGTCTTGGTTATGAGACCAGGTTCAACAAACAGAAATTAACAACCAAAAAAAGTGAGTTGGTGATGTTTGGGGACTTACGGATGGCATACAGGAAGTCCCAAGGAGCAGCTTCTGAAGACTGGAGGTCATGGTGCTCCTGTGGTGTGGTGGTCCTGTCGGTCCCCAGCTCTTACATGTTGAGCCTTCAGCCTGTCTTCCTAGATATGAGGAGAGACAGGAGGGGGCTATCTCAGTGAATACATTTTAATAAAAAGAAAAACATTTTGGTTTTTCAAGCCATGTGGTAGTGATGACATTATTATAATGAAATTAACTGGGAAGTGTTCACCCCAGCCCAAGGTCTCTCTGTGGGAGGCCCCACCTGCCATACTCCCAGGGCACACCAGGGCCTCAAGGCAGAAGAGTCTCCCGTGCAGAATTCAAAGAGTGCTGCATTCTCTCTGCACCTTCTGAGACCTGCTGTTCTGGACTGTGAGAGGCCTTGAGAGGCACGGGAGGGCACCCTGTTCCGAAGGGATGCCGGTCACACTCAGCATTCTGAGAGGATCATGGGCACACACCCATGTGTACTGTGTACCTCCATGTTCTTACATGATGTCCTTATATGGTAGCATGTGTTCTTATATGATCTTAGATGTTACATAACCATAGATGTTCCTGTATGATCTTAAATGTTCTTATGTGATGACCTCAGGTGCTAATCTATGATCTTACATGTTCCTATGTGATCTTAAATGTTCTTACATGATCTCAAATGATCTTATGTGATCTTAGATGTTCTTATGTGACGAGCTTAGATGCTATTCTATGATCTTAGATGTTCCTACACGGTCTTAGATGTTCTTATATGATCTCAAATTATCCTATGTGATCTTAGATGTTCTTAAATGATCACAAATGATCTTACATGGTCTTAGATGTTCTTATATGATCTCAAATTATCCTGTGTGATCCTAGATGTTCTTAAATGATCGCAAATGATCTTACATGATCTTAGATGTTCTTATTTCGTGTTCTTAGATGTTTTCACATGTCCTCAATATGGTTTTACATGTTCTTGAGTAAACTCATTTTCCTCCATCATGATGTGCAGTGCTCTTGTGACTGCAGTGATTTTGACCATCTAGGTAGGTACTAGGTCCTGCCATGGGCCACATGCACCCCAGGCTCCTGCTGTCACTGAATCTGGAACATTCTGACCTCAGCAGTGTTCTCACTGCCTGGGTGCCCCTCCCTGCTTCCTAGGGGTTTCATTCCATCCCAGCCCACGCAGGAAGCCCGTGAATCCCAGTGCCAGGTGGACACAAGGTCTCCTCCTCTCATTGTTCTCACGGTCCAGATGAACCACGGGTCATGGGTTTACAGTAGGTAAACAGCCACCTGCTAGTGTCTCAGGCAAGGCCTGTCTCTCTTGTCAATGGCAGCTGCCTTCTGGAGAATGGAGGAGACCCTGGACTGGACTGTCATCCCCTGACCACCTGTCGACCACACTGGTCCTGGGCCTCGGCTCCCTCAGGGAGCCCATCAGTGTCCTGCGGTGGACCTTATAGGCAGGGATGCCTACCTTTGCTTGTGGCTAGGAGACACACTTCTATGTGCCAGTTCACATGGCCAAGTGTGACAGAGACTTCTGGGTGCTGACAGAACCTCCTGGTGAGCAGTGGTCAAGTCTGGCCAGCTGTCATCCCAGCCACCACTTGGGGAGTTGTAGAGAGGCCTTGGTGGGGATGATTATGATCCTGGGCTACTTCAGAAGTCCATCTGAGGACTAAGCCACACCACTGTTGTTTTAAATCCTGATTCAGTATGATTTAGACATCATTTTCTAAAGTTTATTTTGTGACTAGGTGAATGATATTTTCATTCTCTTTTTTTTTCCTTGTAAGAGAGGATACAGCATTTTTATTTATTTATTTTAGTTTTTCTGTGTATGAGTGTTTTGCCTGCATATGTACATGCACTTGTGCGTGCAATGCCCACAGAGGCCAGAAGAGGGCATCAGATCTTCTAGAACTGGAGTTGCAGGTGGTTGAACTGAGTCCATGTCCTCTGCAAGAACAGCCAGTGCTCTTAACTGCTGAGCCATCTCTCCAGCCCTGAGAGACAGAAAATTTATCAGGAATATTCTATGTACTAGGCAGTATTGGAAATGCTTAAAGCCCCTTAGTTACATGTAATATGTATTAATACGTCTGTAAGTATATACCTTAGAAATCCTTATTTACAAATGGAAGCCAAACCTGGTGGCACACTCCTGTCATCCCAGCCCCCAGGAGGTTGTGTATAAGTGCTCTAGCCTTGTCTGTCTGTCGGTCTGCCTGTCTCTCTCACCTGTTTTTCTTTGTTTTATTTCTTTTTTTGGTCTTTTTGAGACAGGGTTTCCCTATAACCCCAGATGGCCTGGAACTCACTGTGTAGATCAGGCTGTCCCTGAACTCCACCTGCCTCTGCCTCTCGAGTGCTGGGTTTAAAGGTGTGCGCCACCGTGTCCAGTTCTCACCTATTTTTCTATTTATTTTGGCTTTCTGAGACAGGATCTCACTCAAGCCCTGGCAGGTCTGGAACTCATTATGTAGCCAGAATAGCAGTGCTCCTGCCTAGCTTCCTGCATGCTGGGGTTCTAGGCATGCACATCACACCCATCTTAGCCCAGTTATTACAAATGCAGCTCTCTGTGTTGGTGAATATATAGCTGAAGTCTGCTGATGTGGACAAGGTGAACTCATGTGCACAATGTGCTCTTTTACCATTGTAGGGGCATTTCAACCATACTGGGAACCGTTAGAAGATGCAAACAGAAGAAAGAAGGTTCCAGTTTGGGCCAGTGTGACTCCCTTACAGCTGGACCTGGGCACCTACCTGTTCAGATAGCAGCCAAGGCTCCATGCAGGACTGCTTGTCCTCCTAAGTAGTCCCTCTGTTCTCTGCATGAGGCCAGGAGTATCCTGATCGTGATGGCTCACTGTATCCTATTTCTAATGCATTCTGCTTGAGAGATTATCCAGAAGTTTAAAAATTCTGAATCAAATTGCCTAGATTTGGGAGCCCCGTAGCTCATGGAATCGTAGCAATTGGAGCTCTGGCTTTAGACTTTTGAATTGTGTCTAGATGTATCCTGGGCCACTCACATGCTCTTTTTAATTAAAAGACTTATTTTTATATTTAAAATTTTCTATAATCTTGAAATGAATTTACTAAATGTTGGTGTTCAATCTGTGCTGTCTAATTCTCTAACTGAAGTTATCAGGGACAGAACCCCTTTTATATTAAAAGGAAATTGCAGACACCTATTGGGTTTCAGTGTGTTGACTTACCTATGGAGCCTGGTCTTACTTTCCTGGATTTGGAAGCTTTCTGAGCCGTCCTGGTCACATGATCAACAAGGGCCTAAGGAAATGACTGGATTCAAGAATCACCTTCCAGTCTTTAGCCTTCTAAAGCTGGGAGGGCTCAGCCCAGCCCTGCACATTTCCATCACCTTTCCATGTTCCTTGTCAGGGATGTCCTCAGCAGGACGTGTGGAAGAGCCCCATCCCTAGTAACCGTGTGTAGCCACGGGTGAGGGCCACATGGGGAGATGAGCAGGGAAGCCAAGCTGTGGAACTGGTAAAATGTGGTTCACGTTACATGTTATCCAGAATCACAGGACGCCATTAACCCAATGAAGATGCCAGAGCTGCAGCCGGCTTGGAGGGTGACAGCCCAGCCCAAACAACCAGGACTGTGGGTGACAGGGTTGGCATGGATGGCCTTCAAATGCTCTTCGGAAGAGCTTTAATTTTGTTTTCCAAAATGAGATCTGCATCTTAATTTTTATGGAAAAAGAAAACCTCCAGCTCACAGCGTTTTCTTTTTGTCTGAGGCTTTGCCCTCATACGTGGAGAGAGATGTCTGTGTTTTTGTGGCAGCTACTTTGGTACTTAGAGTAGTACACAGTTTACACGAGCTGTCATTAGAAACCCAGTAGCCCCTGAGCACCATCACCTGCCTCATGAGAAACACCCGTGTTCATTCCTGCAGACTCCAGTCTGTTGTCCCTCCACCACAGGTGTCTGGGTGACCATGAAGAACTACTGCCTCGTTTTATTGTTTGGAGACAGGGTCTCCGTATAGCCCCAGCTGGCCTGGAACTTGCTATATTGACCTGGCTGGCCTCCATCTCACAGAGACCCAACCTGCCTCTGCCTCTCAGTGCTAGGACTAAAGCATGCACCACCATGCCTGGCCTGAATGGCCTCTTTAAAAATTTTCAAATTACATTTATTCTGTGTGCATTTATGTGTGTATGTCTATGTACACATGCATGCCATGGTGCACACATAGTAGTCAGAGGACAGTGGGGTCAGTTCTCTCCTTCCACTATGTGATACCTGGGTTTCAGGGTTTTCCTGCCTGATAAGGACCTTTCCCTCAGAGCTGTCTTGCTGGCCCAAGCATTGGCTTTCTGCACTTCTTTCTCCCTGTCTGTGTAGGCGGGTGGTGGTGGCCCACAGGATTTGCCACCAGCGTTGAAGGCAGGAGCACACTCAGAGGGCCTGGGGAGTCCTTGGCAGCCCCCTCCACTGCTGCCCAGCCCCTCCAAGCCCAAAGCAAACCTTCTCTTCTAAAAACCCAAGGCCAGGAAAGATTCCTGCAGAAATAACCGGAGAGTGGGGTGAGTCCTGCGGGAACGTGAGAAGCAGCGGTTTCCTCCCCGATGCTGGAAGTTCTCAGACCACAAGGAGAAAGAGCACTGAAGACACAGAGTCAGTGGCCTTGGGCTTTTCCCTGTGCTTCCCCTCTAATAATCAGGGCTCTGCAACCCTAAACCTGCGCCTGCAGAGGCCATCCTTGTGGGCCTTCCTGCCCAGCAGGGACTCACCTGTGTCTGTGCATCCTGTAGCCCACCTCCCTGCCTGCCGTAGCCACCACCTATCTCACCCACACTTTGACCCATCTGTCTAGCTCCAGACTCATCCCTCCTCATAAACATGGCCTCTGGTGAGTGGACCATCCTCTGTCCGTGGACCCTGCACCTGAGAAGGTTAGGGGACACGCACTGTCTGGGTGGGGTCTTGTTCTAAATGGTCTTTGTATGATGTAAAGAGAATCCTGGTTCATTGTAGGCGATCATGAAGTGCAGAACGGTGACCAGCCCTCACCCCTCAGATTGCTGTCCCTGGCCTGCTGACCCCTCAGTAGCACCTCCCACTTTGGGATCTGAGTGTCCTTTGCACCATCATTGGCAAATGTCTTAAAAGGCAGCAGAAGATTCTACCTTAAAAGGGGCCTCACTTGGCCAGCACCAGGTGTGCCCCGCTACCTGCTACCTGAGGGTGGGGTAGGCATATGTGGGGCAGGATGCCTCTGGAAGGCCCTCAGGGCAGGACATACACCTGCTGGGATGGCCAGATCAGCTGTCCTCACGCACAGCTTGCTCTCTGCCAGGCCAACTTGTCAGCACCACAGGTGCTAAATGCAATCCATTAGCTCATAGGCAGGACTGGCACAGATTTCAGTAAACTGGGCTTTGAGGCTCCCCATGTGGGGCGTGAAATGGGATTAGCCCTTCCCAGGGCTTTCTCCTTGTTCTCCATCTAGAGGAAGAAAAAGACCGCCTTCCACCCCGAGGAAGCATGGGCCATTATGTGTGTCCTTAGGTAAACCCTCAGTTCTTTATAATCTGTCATTGTTTTTTGTATTGGGCTAAAAATATCAAACTAGACAGACCTTTAAACATGTCTCAGAGCAAATTGATTGCAGTTTCTCTCTTCCTGCAAGAACAGCCATTGTTCTTAACTGCTGAGCCATCTCTCTAGCCTGAGTCAAAAAAATTTGCTTCTTTCTTTCTTCTTTTTTGAGACAGGGTCTCCTTGTAGCCCCAACTGGCCTGGAACTCACTATGTAGACCAGGCTGGCCTCAAACTCATAGAGATCCACCTGCTTCTGTCTCCCAAGTGCTGAGATTGAAGGCATGCACACACCACGCCCGGCTGATTGCAGTTTCTAACCCAATAGTTTATAAAATACTTTGGAAAGTTTGAATTATGTCAAATCCTTAACAGAGAAGGGTAACTAACATTCAGTGCTTCACCTTCTTTAAAGTTTATTTATTTTCATTATGTTATATGAGTGTTTTGCCAGCATGTACACAAGTGCACCACGAGCCTGCAATGCCCACAGAGGCCAGCAGAGAGCATTGGATCCCCTTGAGTTACAGATGGTTGTTAGCCACCATGTGGCCTCAAGAGAACCCAGGTCCTCTGCAAGAACTGCTGATCCATCACTCCAGCCTCTCTTCTGAACCACAGTTGGGCTAGAACTCACTATGTAGACCAGGCTGGCCTTGAACTTAGAGACCTCTGCCTGCCTCTGCCTCCTGAGTGCTGGGATTAAAGCCCTGCACCGCCATGCTTGGCACTTTGTCAGCTTTTTTTTTTTTCTTTGTCTTTTTGAAGCAGGGTGTCCCTTTAGCCCCAGCTGTCCTGGAACTCACTATGTAGACCAGGCTGGCCTTGAACTCATAGAGATCCGCCTGCCTTTGCCTCCCAAGTGCCCTCTGCCTCCCAAGTGCTAGGACTACAGGCGTGTGCCACCACACCCGGCTGTTTTTGTCAGCTTTTAAAATACAGTGATTTCCAATTATCTTTTGTGTGTGCATGTGTGCATGTTCACATGCGCTGCTACGTTAGAGTGTGTGCACATGTGCGTGCGTGTGGAGACCAGAGGTCGACCTCGGGTGTCATTGCTTCAAAGTTGCCCCCTTGTTTTTTGAGACCAGGAGCTTGCCAGTTAGGCTATGACAGGCCCACAAGCTCCAGACACTCTCCTGTCTCTGCCTTCCCAGGACTGGGTTTTGGTCACAGTCACCACGCCTGGTGGTGCTGAGTCCTGGGGAGCAATCACAGTTCCTCATTCTCACACAAGCAAGCATTTCATGGATGACTGCTATCTCCCTAGCCCACTAAATTTTTTGAACAATAAAAAGTGTACCTGAGGGGCTAGAGAGATGGCTCAGCAGTTAAGAACACTGGTTGTTCTTGCAGAAGACCCGGGTTCGAATCCCAGCACTCACATGGCAGCTAACAACTGTCCGTAACTCCAGTCCCAGGGGATCCAACAGCCTCTTCTGACCTCTGTGGGCATTGCATGACACGGATGCACTTACCTACATGCAGGCAATACATGCATACACATAAAACATAAAAAATTTTAAAAAGTGTACCTGAAATCTATACTTACTAAAGAATTTAAATTGTAGGGGTTAGGACCCAGGTTGGATTCCCAGCACCCACATGGCAGCTGCGAACTGTCCTTAACTCCAGTTCCAGGGGAATCTGAAGCCCTCTTCCAACCTCGGCGGCATTGCATGACACGGGTGTACTCACATACATGTGGGCGATACACTCATACATATAAAATAAAAATAATAAATAAAATATATCTAAAAAAGGATTTAAAAAAGGATTTAGGGGCTGGAGAGATGGCTCAGCAGTTAAGAGCACTGACTGCTCTTGCAGAGGACCCGGGTTCAATTCCCAACACCTACATGGCAGCTACGAACCATCCTTAACTCCAGTTCCAGGAGAATTCGAAGCCCTCTTCTGACCTCCGTGGCATTGCATGACACAGGTGCACTCACATACATGCAGGCAATAAACTCATACACATAAAATAA